CCATTTTTTAATAGGATTATTTGTCTTTTTGTTGTAGAGGTGTTGGATTTTCTTGTAGATTATGGAGATTAGCAGACCATCTTATTGAGAGTCTTCCTCTTGTTCACTGACCCTGTACTTTACCAAGCATGATGTCCTTCACCAGGGACTGGTCCCCCTGATGACGTGTCCAGAGAACATGAGACGACTTGCCATCCTTGCGTCTCAGGAACTTCCTGGCTGTATTTCTTCTAAGACAGATTTGTTTGTTTTTCTGGCAGTCTATGGTATATTCACTGTTCTTTGCCAACACCATAATTCAAAGGCATCAATTCTTCGGGCTTGCTTGTTCATTGTCCAGTTTTCACATGCACACAAGGCAATTGAAAATACCATGGCCGGGGTCAGTCGCACCTTAGTCCTCAAGGTGACATCTTTGCTTTTTAACACTTTTAAAGAGGTCTTTCGCAGCAAATTTGCCAATGCAGTACGTCTTTTGATTTCTTGACTGCTGCTTTCATGGGTGTTGATTGTGGATCCAAATAAAATGAAATCCTTTACAATTTCAATGTTTTCTTGGTTTATCATGATGTTGCTTATTGGTCCAATTGTGAGGTTTTTTTTTTTTTTTTTTTTTTTTTGTTGAGGCAAAATCCATACTGAAGGCTGTAATCTTTGATCTTTATCACTAAGTGCTTCCAAGTCCTCTTCACTTTCAGCAAGCAAGGTTGTGTCATCTGCATATCACAGGTTGTTAATGAGTCTTCCTCCAATCCTGAAGCCATGTTCTTCTTCATGTAGTCCAGTTTCTTGGATTATTTGCCCAGCATACAGCTTGAATAAGTGTGGTGAAAGGATACAACCTTGACACATAACTTTCCTGATTTTAAACCGTGCAGTATCCTCTTGTTCTGTTTGAACAACTGCCTCTTGGTCTATATACAGGTTCGCATGAGCAGAATTAGGCATTTTGGAATTCCCATTCTTGACAGCATTATCCATAATTTTTTATAATCCACAGTTTTATAGTACTTTCAAGTAGGCTATGCACGTGTGACTATAGCCCTTAACTCGTTGTGTTGTAATTACTGATTTTTTTCTGATCTGCATCCCCACTAAATGGACACTCCTCAGTAGAGCAGGACTGTCTTACTTAAGCTACACCTCTCCACCCAAGTCTTTAGGAAAGAAAATTGCCTTCCTGAGAATGTTTTAGAATCACATCCATTAAATTAGTTGGTGCTTTTAATCACCATTAGGTATTCTCTGCTTTGAGCCTTCAGGATAATTTGCTTAATTTTGAACGCAAAGACAAAGTATTCACTGGAAAATAGACATGTGGTACAGCCCTATAGTCTCACCTAATTGTGACATCATATATATTATGTACTATGCCAAATAATATTTTCTTATGTTGTTCAAATTTAAAATACAGACTGTGGACATTCATAAAGAGAAAGTGGCTCGAAGAGAGATTGGTATTTTGACAACAAATAAGAATACATCAAGAACTCACAAAATAATAGCACCTGCAAATATGGAACGCCCTGTAAGGTATATTCGGAAACCTATCGACTACACAGTTCTGGATGATGTGGGCCATGGTGTCAAGGTAAGCATTTCTGTATCACATTAACTTGAATTGATTTGCATATCTAATAATTATTTTGCATAGGAGATATGGCTGTAAGGATAATTTTCTTGAATTAATTCTCATTAGCTAGCAACCGGCATTATAATTTTCATAGAACATTTTTTAATAGTAGTTGTGTCTTATACTAAGCTTAAGGTAGAATTTTGCCTGTGGAATGGACTATATTCAAGAGCAGATTAAAACTTGAAATGGATATTCATTAAATAAGCCATTTGAATCCTAGACTAGTCTTATAGATTCGTGTCCTGATGCCATCCCTTTCGTTCACTATTGACTATTTAAAGTAGAAAAACGTATATGCATTTCAGAATTGGTTTAGAAAATGGTTTATAGATATTTTTATACTTTTGTTCTTTAATGTGTGTATGTCTCTCTGTGTGTGGATGTTATTCCATTTACTTATGAAAAATGTTAATTTTATCTAGCCTTGTTTTGTGTACACCCCACCCCCACCCACACCTCAGCAGACTTTAGGGAGAAAGATTATTTATTGCCCATGTCCATTTCTTAGAATGGTGCAGTTAGGTCATCTTTTTTTTTAATTTTTTTTTTTTTATTGTACTTTAGGTGAAGGTTTACAGAACAAATAGTTTCTCATTAAACAGTTGATACACATATTGTTTTATGACATTGGTTAACAACCCCACGACATGTCAACACTCTCCCTTCTCGACCTTGGAGGACCTTTTTTTTGGTGAAAATATACATAGCCAAAGATACACCATTTCAGATTTTCTACAAGTACAATTCAGTGACGTCGATTACATTCTTCCAGTTGTGCTGCTATTCTCACTATCCTTTTCCAAATTATTCCATCACCATTCTCTTCAACTCACTGTTCCCTAGGCTTCCCACCAAACCTTTTGAGTTGGCTGTTGTTAGTTTGATCTCACGTAAATAATTCTTCTTTTTTGTACTTTAGATGAAGGTTTACAGAACAAAATAGTTTCTCATTAAACAATTAGTACACATATTGCCCTATGACAATGGTTAACAACCCCACAACATGTCAACACTGTCCCTTCTCAAACTTGGGTTCCCTATCACCAGCTTTCCTGTCCTCTCCTGCCTTCTAGTCCTTGTCGCTGGACTGCTGTGCCTCATTAGTCCCGATTTGTTTTATGGGGCTGTCCAATCCCCAGCTGAACGGTGAACCTTGGGAGTGACTACACCACTGAGCTAAAAAGGGTGTCCGAGGGCCATACTCTCAGGGTTTCTTCTGTCTCTGTCAGGCCAGTAAATCTGGTCTTTTTTTTTGTGAGTTAGAATTTTGTTCTACATCCTTCTGCTCTGTCCAGGACCCTGTGTTGTGATCCAGGTCAGAGCAGTCAGTGGTGGTAGCCGGGCACCATCTAGCTGTACTGCACTCAGGCTAGTGGAGGCTGTAGTAGCTGTGGTCCATTAGTCCTTTGGACTAATCTTTTCCTTGTATCCTGTTCTCTTCATTCTCCCTTGCTGCTGAAGGAATGAGACCAGTGGAGTATCTTAGATGGCTGCTTACAGGCTTTTAAGACCCCAGACACTACTCACCAAGGTCTAATGTAGAGCATTGTCTCCATAAACTGTGTTATGCCAATTGAGCTAGATGTTCCCGGAGACCATGGTCCCCATAGCCCTCCGCCCAGCAATTCACTCCCTCAGGGAGTTTGGATGTGTCTGTGTAGCTTCCATGACCTTTCCTTGTACAAGTTATGCTGGCTTCCCCAGTATTGTGTACTGTCTTACTCTTCACCAAAGTTACCACTTATGTATAGTCTGCGGTTAGGTGATCTTGAAGGATACCTGTAGTTTTTCGACTTTTAGGTATTAATGGATGATTTTGCAAGCATGTGGAATGACCCGAATTCTTCAGACATTTCTGCTCAGGATAAAGTAGTTCTCTGAAATTTGGTAGTTTCTTTTCTAGAGGATCATTATTTGGTTTTATTTTTGGTCTGTAGAATATTTTAAAATAATTTTTAAGGGCTCGGCTAGAATCTTGAAGTTTTTCCTAGCTTGTTGATCTAACGGGTGATACTGCTGAATCTGTTGCGTTATGAATTTTCTGGGGTTCCTGATTGAGAGGGGAGTATAGTTGACAACATTCAACGTTATTCTACTCTTCTCTGAGACGATTGGTATCTCCCTTTCACTTTTGTTCTGGGAAGTTATACATTAAGTTTTTCATAGTCCAAGTTTAATATTCCATCATATTTTCTTCCTTTGTGATGTAATTTTTAGTGTATTTGTATTTGATGTATCTGAATTTCATTTGAATAGTATTTACTGTGCTAATACATTTCATGCTCGAAAATAGACGATACACACAAATCTAATGGGAATTAAGAATATGGAAAAAATATCCTACAGAAGTTTTGGTTGATTTTTGGAAACAATGTAAGATAGGCATAGGAGAATTTCAGGATAGAGAAATTATCAGAACATAGGCATAAGGGAGAATGGAAAGATGAATCTTACAAGGGATTTTGCACAAGATTTCAGGATAAACTAGAGGAGAAAAGACTTGGATATGTAGCAGAGAAGTTTAAATTTGGTTTTGATAAGCAGTAATAATAATTAACAGCTTTATAGCCTGGTTCATAATTTATAGAGAACTTTCCATTATACGTTTGTGTTTGTTTGTTTTTAGTCCTCAAAAAGACCATGTGATCTAGGAGTTATTACATTTTATTAGTGGAGACAATAAAGCTTTGTAATATGTAGATAGGAAAAGAAATTATATTTTTAAAAAGCTTTCCATTTTATTAATCAGAGGATTCAGCTAATGAATATTTCAAAGAATTGGCCTTGAATATTGCAGCAAACATTTAGTACCTACGGTGTGCAAAGCTTATGATCTACTTAAGGTTAGAAAATAGGGAGGAATCAAAGAGAATTCTATTGTTTTTAATCTAAGATTGCAGGGGAATGGTAACATTACTCATACATAAACATGAATGTTAAGGAAATGAAGTGAGACCTTAGGGAAATAAAAAAGTCTAATTTTGGATATGTTTTGGGGACATTTTAATGGAAAAATCTTGTAAATTGCTGAAAATTATAATATTTTGAGCTGTAAGATATAGAGATTATTTCCTACCAGCACACCCCCACCCGAACACATCTCCACACACGAACACACACTTAATAGAGGAAGAAGCTGAGTCCCATGAGAGGTTAAGGGTTGCACCATTGCATAGTGGCAGAGTTCAGTTAGAATTTTCATTCCTATTCTGATCCTCCTTTCATTCTTTCACTTGGGACCAGTTTATACTTGAGTGCTAGTTTTTTTTTTTTTCTTGATTATGTTAAACAACAAATGAGGGAAGATGTTTGGTAATATTTAGAATATTTTCTATTTTCTAAGTTACCGTAAAAGAGTTTTTAAAAGTATTGTAATGCTTATCACATTAGTATACCCTATCTTCAAGGATCCTAATAATTGTTATTCACATTTAGTTTTCTAAATCCAGGTGTGAAATGTAGAGGCTAGGTAGGGGCTCATACATTGTTTTCAGATAAAAATGGGCACTATTATTCTAAACAGAAATTAAAGGTAAAATTCTGGTACAGTTTCTATAAATGAAAATATGTCAAAGACAAAATAAATTCTTCCTTTGGATTATTTCCTTAATGTTGCTTTTATGGTCACCAAAAACATGATAGATACATATTTGGAATGGCAGATGTTGTGTGTAAAGAATCTGAAACTTAAAAATTCTATAAAAAGACCTGAAGGTGTTTTTTCTTGAGTGGTATGGTACAAGTCCTTAGGTGTCGCAAATGGTGAAGCGTTTGACTACTAAATGAAAGGTTGGCGGCTCACATCTACCCAGAGGTGCCTTGGAAGAAAGTCCTGGCGATCTGCTTCTGAAAGATCACAGCCTTGAAAACTATCTGGAGTGCAGTTCTTCTCTACACATATAGGGTCATCATGAGTTGAAATTGACTTGATGGTACGGGGATAGCACAAGTGATGCTTTAGGACTATACACATTGTTTCTTGTATATCAAGCCAAAAATAACCAAACCCGTTGCCGTCAAGTCAGTTCCAACTCATAGTGACCCTATAGGACAGAGCAGAACTACATTATAGGGTTTCCAAGGCTGGTGGATTCGAACTGGCGACCTTTTGGTTAGCAGCCGAGCTCTTAACCACTGTGCCACCAGGGCTCCTTCATGTATATAGACTAGTCATATTTCGTAGAAGTAGCCTTTACGATCAAAGCAGCTCTTCTTCAGTTTTGAATCTTGACTAAACTGGTTCAGAACAAAACTGAGAACTAAAGCAACCTATGACCTCGAATTGGCCTACTCAGGATTTGGGTTCATAAGCTAGAAGTTAGTTGGTTTTCCAGATCCTGCTTGTTTATTCCTTAGAATCTGGCTAAGCTAATACTGTGCATGGTGATTTCATTTTTAAACACTGAGGTGCTAGGTCTCTTTCTGAATTTGGAAGCATATGATTTTGAATTTTAACATTTATAGTTTATTACGTTTTTAAAAAAACTACCTTTCAAGTTATGAATACTCCTACTTAAGCATTCATTATCCAGTGAAGTCTCAGGTCTTGTACACTGACGTATTAAAATAACCTTACATCTAAAGTGTTATAAGGGTATTTCCGCTTAAATCAAGGCATATTATATATATTTTTAGTCATCTGTGATTTGGTTGAATTAGTTCCATAGGATAAATTATTGGATCTGCATTAAATTGGCATAATTAACTGGTGGTTTCCTTATGAATATATTCTTTTTAAAAATATGTGAAACACATACATACATTTTTCCTTATAAAATATTTGAAATATGACTGAGTGAAAACTTATTAACATGAATTGAATAACTATAATTGTAAACCTGTCCTACCAGATATAATTTATTTAGAATTAATTTCTACTTTTTCCCCCCTTTTGTTGCCAACGTAAAGTGGCTAAAAGCCAAGGTAAGAGACATCATTTATCCTTTGACCCACAGTGTTCCCTCTATATTGATAGAGGCTGCAGAGCCACTAAAATTGAAAACTCTTCGTATGTCTGTCTGCTTTTTCCCCATAGGATTTATGTAGATTGAATAAACTCAGTTCAAATCACAAGCATTCAGCCTTGGATGTGTTAATATATCAAAGATATATTGACATCTGCTTTTATATAGGAATATTAATTTCGCTAACATTTATTGCTTCACTCATTTTTTGATAGTTGCCTTGCTTTTATTGACTTACAGTTAGGAGGTTTCCCAGACATCATATGTGACTTTGTTACTCACTTGTTAGAACAAAGAGCCCTGGTGGCACAGTGGTTAAGAGCATTTTGAATCCACCACCCACTCCTTGGAAAACCTCTCGAACAGTTCTCCTCTGTCCTGTAGGGTCGCTATGAGTTGGAATTGACTCAATGGCAACAGGTTTTTTTGTTTGTTAAAATAAAGATGGATATTTAAACTCATGGTCATTAAGATCTGTGGTTTATATTTGTAAACACCTTTCAGAAATTTTTTTAGGTCCCTGGGTGGCATAAATGGCATGTGCTTGGCTACCATAAATTGGTATGAATGGCACAAAATAACAGGAAAGGCCAAATGCAAATGGTTTCTTGACTTTTTAAAAAGTAGTACTAAAGTCTGCATAAAACTGTCTGGGAATCCTTACTTCACATTCTGATATTAAAAAAAAATAATACATGGTGTCAAAACACCAAGAGGACAATTTGATATAGAAATAAAAGCTTTTCTTTCCTCATTTTAGCATGGAAATAACCAGCCTGCAAGAACTGGCACACTGTCGAGAACAAATCCTCCCACTCAGAAGCCACCAAGTCCTCCCATGTCAGGCAGGGGAACGTTGGGGTAAGAATTAAATGACACTTTCACAAGAGAATTTGTTATGTTTAAAGAAAAGGTATTTTTGTGACTTAAGTAAATGTATGGCTCCTTGCCTTGGGACCCTCTCCATGTGACACTACCTTTTATAAGTTCATTTGGTTCTTATTTCCCTGAACAGAATCCAGAATGAACCTGCCTGTTTTATGGTATTCCCTATAGAATTCTGTGCTAGGAAAGTCCTTTAGTGTATTTATCAATGAGCATTCTTATTTTTTGTCTTCTAATTCATCTCTTAAAGTATAAATCTGACTTTTTATTTCAGATGTTATGACCAGATTATTAATGTGTACCTTCATATGTGTTTACAATATTTGTTACAGAACTTTGAATAAGTGGTCTACTTTATGCAGTTTGGCTTGGTAGCCTGCAGCTCTTCTGTTTTCTCTATTACTTGGCACCTGAGATTTAAAAACTCTTACCTGGAGTGCTTCTAACTGTGCTTCTGCTGGTTGGCTTAGGCCCCTTCATGCTAGAGTAGCTTTGTGGAAAGGCTAATTGGAGAAGTAGAAAAGCTAACAGTTGTTGGTTTCTTCCTTCTCAATTCCTAAGATAATAAAAATACTGAGTGCTTGACCAGACATTTCTGAAAGTTTCTTCACCTTACCATAGAAAATAGTACATTAGGTTTCTTTTTTTTGGTGGAGGGGTATGGGATTGTTATTCTGTAGTAACTGGGATCAGCAGTAAACTGTTTTGGAGAATCTTAGTTGTAATTTTCATTCTGTAAATTCCACTGCCCCCTAGAAAGCATGTGAAGTTATTAAATAGAAAAGTAAAAATCATTTATTGACAATTTAATGGCATCACACCTAGGATCAGAATGTACTTCTCCATATATTTCCATATTGAGGTAGGAATAAATTGCAGAGGAGACACTTTGCTTCCATAATGTAAAAGACAGTAGTTTATGGGTGACTGAGCTGGGAATAATATGCATTTCAAAGTTTGATATTTTCGAGCATTTTTAAAATATAACCATTATTTTTGGAAATAAGTTTGGAAGTTTAAATTACCCTAAGAAAGGGTAACAAATTTTAGCTTTTGTGTTAAAGTAATAAAATTAATATATCCCAATTAAAACTGCATTTTAACTTTTATTATTATTTTATTTTAATTCTTTATTATTATTATTATTTTACTGTGTTGTACTTCTTCACAAAGAGAATCACAAATTTGGGGAAAAATACTGTTTTATCTTTCTTACCCATTATTCCTTTCTCTCTTATTCTCCTTTAGACGGAATACTCCTTACAAAACCCTGGAACCTGTTAAACCCCCGACAGTTCCTAATGACTACATGACGAGTCCTGCTAGGCTTGGAAGTCAGCATAGTCCAGGCAGGACAGCGTCTTTAAATCAGAGACCGAGGACACACAGGTAAACCTTGGGGGTGAGCATTTCAGCACCTAAGAGTGGAGGTTATTTAGTCTTCACAAACTGGTGCTGAGTTAAGGTCAAGTACTACTCTATTGTTAATATAGAATATAAAAGGGAAGGCAGTAATATCATACATGTTGCTGTAAATTTTTGGCGTGACTTCTGTGTTTTAGATTTTTACGTCTATGTTTGTTATTAGCAGATTGTTAGTATTTCTCCTTTTGACAGAGGTACAGGTGTATATTTGGATGAAGGCTAAAGAACTTTTACCTGGCTTGTAAAAAAAGAGTAAGGGAAACACTCTTTAAGTATTTTTAGATAAAAGATTAAATGTCACAGAAATTATGCAGTGTGAAAGATGAAGGAAAGAAGACTTAGCTAAGATCTGAGGAAGAGTTACTTAAGAGAGTTGTTATAATAAAATAAATTATTTTATAAATTGTTAAAAAATTCTAGAAATCAAATACCTACTAGGTAATTTTTAAAAGTCGGTTATGGAGCATAACATTCATTTAGAAAGGTATATACTTTATTAAGTATATAGCTTGATGGAGTAATACAAATTGAACACACCCATGTAACCGTCACCCAGATCAGAAAATGGAATGTTACCAGTAACCCAGGAGTGTTTCTCCACGCCCTTTCGCAATTATTGCCTCTATCTTCTTCCCCCCAAAAAATAACCATTTCAATTTTTGAGTACTTTTATAAAACCAGACAAATTTTATTGTATGACTTAATTTGTTTTATTCTTCAGTTTTATTCCTCACTTAATGTCTTGGGGAAATAACCTCTCTTGGCCTTGATTTTTAGGTTGGTAAATTGGAGATAATAACTTAGCAAACTTATTTTTCTGGGTTCAATTAAATAGGAAGTAATCAAGCTCTTAGTGGTATTTTTTGATGTTGTTACTATTAGTAAATAAATTGTTACATTGATATCTGCACATATCAAGTTCAGTGAGGATCAAAAGTGTTCTCTAACTTTGTGACTATTGAATTATTGGATCAAAAGGATGATTTTTCTCTATAGTGGAAATAGTAATAGTTTAATCATATTGAATAACCAGTTACTAAGAATTAATTCATTAAATACTAGGCATATACTAATAAGTAAGATATATATATATATATATTTTGTTACTCTTTTATTTTTTATTGTACTTTAGGTGAAGGTTTACAGAACAGGTAGTTTCTCATTGAACAGTTAGTACACATATTGTTTTATGACATTGGTTAACAGCCCCACGACATGTCAACACTCTCCCTTCTCGACATTGGGTTCCCTATGATCAGCTTTCCTGTCCCCTCCTGCCTTCTAGTCCTTGTCCCTGGGTTGTTGTGCCCCATTAGTCTTGTTTTGTTTTATGGGGCTGTCTAATCTTTGGCTGAACAGTGAACCTCGGGAGTGACTTCATTACTGAGCTAAAAGGGTGTCCGGGGACCATACTCTCAGGGTTTCTCCAGTCTCTGTCAGGCCAGTAAGTCTGGTCTGTTTTTGTGAGTTGGAATTTTGTTCTACATTTTTCTTCAGCTCTGTCCGAGACCCTCTGTTGTGATCCCTGTCAGAGTGGTCAGTGGTGGTAGCCAGGCACCATCTAGTTGTACTGGACTCAGTCTGGTGGCGGCTGTGGTAGGTGTGGTCCATTACTCCTTTGGACTGATCTTTCCCTTGTATCTTGTTTTCTTCATTCTCCCTTGCTCCTGAAGGGATGAGACCAGGGGAGTATCTTAGATGGCTGCTCACAGGCTTTTAAGACCCCAGATGCTACTCACCAAGGTAGAATATAGAACATTGTCTTTATAAACTGTGTTATACCAATTGAGCTAGATGTTTCCTGAGACCATGGTCCCCACAGCCCTCCACCCAGCAGTTTGGTCCCTCAGGGAGTTTGGATGTATCTCTGGAGTTTCCATGACCTTTCCTTATACAAGTTGTGCTGGCTTCCCCAGTATTGTGCACTGTCTTGCCCGTCACCAAAGTATAGTTTATTTTTTAAGGAGCTCAGTCTGTTATAATAGGGATCAACAAACTTTTCCTGTAAAGGGCCAGGTTGTAAATAATTTAGGATTTGCAGGCCAAATGGCGTCTTTTGCAATTTCTCAATTCTGTCATAGCACAAAATGAGTCATAGACAATATGTAAATGAATAGGCATGGCTATGTTCCAATAAAACTTTATTTATGGATAGTGAAATTTGAATTTCATATAATTTTAGCATATCACAAAATAGGATTTTTCTTTTGATTTTTTTCCCTCAACCATTTAAAAATGTAAAAGACAAACAAAAAAACAAAACAAAAACATTCTTAATTCACAGGCTATACAAATCAGGTGGTGGGCCAGATTTGGCCCATGGGCCATTGTTTGCCAACTGCTGTGCTAGAAAAAAATACTGTAAGTCAGTACTTGCAGTAGAGCATAATAAATGCAAAAATTACTTATATGTCTATGATGCCATGGTGGCACAGAACAGAGCAAATGACGTTGAGTTTAAAACATAGTATGGAGCATATATGTGCGCGCATACACACATTACTTAAAACAACTGGATAGTGAGAAGTCCCATACCTAAAGGAGCAGTAGAAGAGTAGGGAGTTGGTTAGAATTTAACAGTAGTAACTATTCCAGAATGCCCTATCATGAAACTGTACTTATGTTGTTATACTCATTTTCCAGAAAATTACCCTGGTTTTCCCTTCTTAGTGGTGAGTTGAAGTTTTCATGTTAATTTCAGACTAGGATTGTTTCCTCTTTTTATTTACTTGCATAGTATCTTGTACGTTCTCTTTTATAGCATCTATCACACTTTTGGTTGTTTTCCCACGCTCAACTATGACCTCCATGTCAATGTGGACCATGTCTGCTTTGTTCATTGTTGCTCATTGTAGGTTCTAAATAAACATTTGTTGACTGACTATACTATAAAATCTTATTGGTAATATATTTCTCAATAAGATTTTAGTGGTAATACTATTTTAAATACATTTCTCAAGAAGATCTCTTCTGACAGTTCTGAGTATTATGTTATGGTTACATTGGTTTCATATAGGTTGAGAAGCAGAGTGAAACATAAGAACTGCTTCAGATATTAGGGTTAAGACTTGAAATGAACTCTTTATAATTTCCTGTTTTATATATATACACATCATAAAAGGAGTTTTTATTGGCCTTAGGTTGATTATTATCAATTTTTTTAATCTTGAGAATTGCTTTTATCCATAATGTTTTCTTTTCTTTGCAGTGGTAGTAGTGGAGGAAGTGGAAGTCGAGAGAACAGTGGAAGCAGCAGTATTGGCATTCCCATTGCCGTGCCTACACCTTCACCACCCACTATTGGACCAGGTACATTATTTATTAATCCATTTCTAATATGTATTTATGAGCTTTATGATGAAAGGCTGAACTAGTTTAAAGTTGGATAAAATTATTTATTAAATTAATGTGATTGTTGCTAAAATAAAGGCTAATAACAAATTTCAAGTTCTTTTTAGATTGATTTTCACAAAGTCTTGGATTTTACCAGTTGTTTCTCCTTACATATAATATAAAGCATATTAAATAATTTTAATAAATAATTGTTTGACGGTTTCACTTTAGAAGTACTTGCCTTGGGCACTAGTCAGGAATGATTTTTATTATTTCTAGAGCAAACTAATATTGTATGATGCTCCAATAAAGGATCAGTGTCTGTAAATGTGAATCATCTTTCAAAGAGTTTTAATGTTGTCTTTTAGATTAATATCTCACTTCTGCTATTATCTTGTTCTGTGACTTTACTACTTTTATGTATGATATTCAATACATATTTTAGTGAAATGCCATGAGTATAAAATGGGATTAAAATAGGAAAAGTTTTTTATTCTTTAGAAAGTACAAAAATTGAAGAAATCATCACAGAACATTAAATTAGCCCCTTGATTTTCAGTAAATGAAGTGGAGACCTCTGGCAGTATTAAAAAAATAAAAATTTTAGAAGTAAGTATGAAAATCAAGACTGTTAGAGAAAAAATCCTCAGCTTCTGCAGGATATTGTTGAAAAAGGAGAAAAAGCACTCATAAAGAGAAGACATAGTTTATATGGTGGTATAAGCTCAATGGCCTTTTTACCTAGTAAAATTGTTACTCATTTGAACATGATTTACATATGCTTGTCTCTTTTTCTTTTTCTTTTCTTTTGCATACATTGTACTTTCCTACTGTTTCAGAGCATTTAGTTCTCTTTCTTGCACTCTGACCTGAATTATAAACTATTTTATTAGTAAACATTTCTGTCCCTCCTCCTTCTGGAGCTCCACCAGCACCACCACTTCCACCACTTCTCCCAGTGAACACTGTGATAGGTGAGATTGCATAACCATTGGAGTGATTTAACTTACTTTGCATAATTCATAATAAACTCCTCTGTGTCTAATAGACTGTTAGCTTTTATAGTTAGTAAGTTGTAGGTGATAATACAAAGGTTAAAGTATTTAATCTATACTAATTTCTTCTGGTGAAAGGCCTCTGAAGTTACAAAGCAAACAAATACAACTTTCTTTATAATGTGAACTGTTTCCAGGTTTGATTTGTTACCAACTTAATGTGTTTTTTTGGTTTGTTTAGATTTTTCTAGGAAAATTATAGCAGTGATTGTTCAAAATTTTTTTTTTAATTAGCAAAGTAATCTTATTTTTTGTTGTTGTTTTCAAGTGGAACTTGATTTGGAACTCCCTGGTATATATTACAGTCAAGAAATAGGGGTGAAAATGGGGACAGGAGGAAGAAAAATGGAAAGGGAAATAATACATGGTGTTTGGTGCTCTGAGGCTTTCCCATGGATCACAGTATGAAAAACTCTGATACAGCCCAATTTTGATGACATCTGAGGATACCATGAAACAGTTTTCTGAATAAAATGCATTTAAATTCAGGCAGTCCCCAGGTTATGGACATCCTAATTACGTACAACCCAGAGTTATGAACCAACCCCTGAAAAGCCTGTTATATTAAAGAGTCAAGGTACATACAGTGGTTTGTAATAACAAACAGGCAGTACTTTGCAACATGCCCTCATGTGTCAGGGAGCCCTGGTGGTACAGTGGTTAAAGTGCTCAGTTGCTAACCAGAAGGTCAGTGGTTTGAACTCACCAGCCGTTCCGCAGGAGAAAGATGTGACAGTCTCTTTCCATAAAGATTTACAGCCTTGGAAACCCTATAGGACAGTTTTACTACGTCCTGCGCTGTAAGTTGGAATCGACTCGAGGGCATTGGGTTTGGTTTGGGTATTACTATGTTAAAGATGCTTTAGTGTATCTGGAAGTGTTTCTTTAATTTTTTTTATGCGTAGAAAGGTACACTATATACTATATACTAAGACAAACATTTGACTGACTGACATTAGATACGTACCATACGTAACTGTTCCTATATATGTGCAAATTCAACTTAAAGACAGATTTAGGAACGGAACTTGTTTGTAATCCGGGGACTGCCTATATTCCCAAATTGGGGGTGACTGGATTGAATGTATGAGAAATTCCAAATACAGACTCAATATAAAAACCTTTCAGCCTAGAAATACACAGTAATAGTAATCTGGGTAGAGGTAAATAATGAGGTGTTTCAAATAATGAGAGCTGAGTTTCAAGCTTAGGTGAAATCAAGCTATACAGCAACATCTTTTCAAAACAACATGTGCATATATACACAAAGGAAAAGGGGGAAAATATATTTTAGAAAAGACCTTAATAATAGAAATTATTGGTAGAAAGTCCATGTGGAAAAAAATGCCCTCAGCCTAACTCATAATCAGGAAAATGAACCTTAAAACCACAATGAGATACTATTTCATACCTACCAGATAGGTCAAAATGTAAAAATCCACTAGTATTAAATGTTGGTAAGGATATGCAATGATAGGAAAGTATACTGCTGGTGGGAGTTTATTAGTTGATACACTCACTTTGGAAAGTAATTTTTCATTATTTAGTCAAGTTGAATATGTACGTATTGTAGGCTTATCGGTTTCATTTCTAGATATTTATCCTAGAGCACTGGTTCTCAAAATATGGCCAGTGGACCTCTGGGGGTTGCCACGATCCTTTCACGTAGTCTGTGAGTTCACAAGTATATCGTAATAATAATACTAAGACATTAAATGCCTTTTTCATTCTCATTCTGTCATGAGTATACAGTGGAATTTTCCAGAGGCTACATGGTGTGTGATAGATATTCCTCTAATGGCTAATGGAATGTGTGCTTGTGTATTCATATGTTTTAAAGATATATCAGTTTTAATTTCTAATATGGTAATTATTGATCAGTATAACTCACATCAACAAAAGCTTTTTGGGGTTCTCTAGTTTTTAAGAGTGGGTCCTAAGACCAAAAAGTTTCAAAGCCATTGCTCTAGAACAGTGGCTTTCAGAGTGCAGTCCCTAGACCGACAGCATCACCATCATCTGGGAACTAGTTAGAAATGTCAGTTCTCAAGTCCCAATCCAGACCTACTAAATCAGCAACCCTGGAAGTGGAGCCCAACTTATTATTATAAGCCCTCTACATGAAATTCTGATTAACACTGAAGTTTGAGAACTACTGTCCTAGAGAAATTCAGGAACCATGTTTAGGAATGTTCATAATAGTAGTATTGATAATGATAAAAATATGGATGTAACCCAGGTGTCTAATAACAATAGATGGATAAATTGTGGTATATTCATATACAAATAAAGCAATAAAAATGCATGATCTGTTGATATGTTAATCAACATGGATGAGTCTTAATATCAAGGGAAAAGAGCAAGTCACCAAAATACGTACAAAATCTTTCCATTATAAAGTTCCAAATTTGCAAAACTCTCTGTGAATTGTTTAGGGTTATATATATATATCTGTGGTAAAGCTATATAGAAAAGAAAGAGAATGTTTAAGACATACTTTTCAGGGTTTGAGATATACAGGAAGGCATATAGGAAGCTTCAGTAATATTGGTAATATTCTGTTTCTTGAGCTGGTATTTTCCTTTAAATTATTTATATATATTTCATATATCCTTTGGTATTATGATTTATTCCCATAATAAAACATTAAAATAAAATTTAAAGTAGACATAGTTTAAAACTGGTAAACAATTGATTTTCGATTTGGAATCACCAAGAAAAATAACTTAGATTACATATATGTATTTTTATACAATTCCAAGAAATAGAAAAAGCATTTTACAGAGATTTCTATTCAGTGTGGTTAAAAGCTGGCTTCTTAGCTGTCTGGAAAACACAGTTGTCCAAAATTACTCATTCATGAAGGGTTTTGATTAGACTATTCTTTTAAAAATCTTTTTCTATTTAGGAAATGAGCATGTGGATGATTCAAATAATTAGTGACTGACTATGGCTTGGGAGCTCCAAAATGTTAAATATTAGCAGTGCTTATTAATGAACAACCTCTGCTGTACAGTTTTATCAAATAATTTGTGTGACCTCTGGGAGAGGTTAGACAACTAAATTAAGGATAATCTAGGATACTCTGATTTTACTTTCTGTGTCATGGTTTGATATCTTTGGGAGGGCAAAGAAGATAATAATAATTGAGAAGTAAACTTTGATTAATATAGTTAACTTTAGAGGCTTTAACTCTATTAACCTTTTAAACGTTAAACTTCTGAAATGTTGATAAAGATGACATTGAGAAAAATTTTAAGCACTGTTTGCTTAAGCATTGTTTGCTCAATTTTGATGTTGTTAGATGTATGAGAGTGATAATTTAAAAAAAAACAGATTGTTGTGTGTGTAATATGGAAAAGAAGTCCTTCAAGTATGGAGAAGGATAATGGGTTTTCTAAAACAAGTTGCCTTAAAATGTCTATATTTTACACACTCTAAAAATTTCCCCAGTTTTGTCAGTTACAAAAAAAAAAAAAATTGGAAAAATATGTTCATTTTAAAAATTTGCGGATACACAACAACTATGACATTACATCCAAGTGCTTTGAAACTAGAAATTTTTTTGAAATGATTCTACTGTAATATGTATTGATCATGATAACTGATAATACTATTAAAAATTCAAATAAAAATAGTAATAGATGTGAGAAATATACTTATTAACAGCTTAAATTTTATAATTTAACCTGGATTTGGCTAGATAGATTCTTATACTTCTGAAGATTTTTTACAGTGGAAAGAAAGAAATATGTAAACCAGATATCATTAATACCGACACTGTCCCCCTCAGGCTATCTTTTGGTACTTATTTTGTTGGAAAGGCATAGTTTTACATATACAGGTAGTCCCCAACTTACGATTTGGAGTTAACGATGAATTTAGGACCGTCTTTTTTTTTTTTTTGTACATCTTATCGTTAGTAATATATACTACATACAATGTTAAATTATATTTGTAAGTTTATATGTAATGTTTCCAACCCCCAAAGACAAATAAAGATAGAATTTATAAAGATTTACTGATAATAAAAGGCAATAATAATGAAAATTTTAAAAAAAAAAAAAAAGAAGAGGTATTCTACTTGCATCAGAACCGAGTCGTCAGAACAGAACCCCGTGGTAGGTCAGGGACTACTTGTAAAAGCTTACATATTTTCAAATGACTCAGAAAAATTTCATATGTAATATTAGCAAAATAACATGAGTTTATGCATATTTAAAAGGTTTAAGAATGTTACTTATTTTGTAGCTTCCACAGTAACTGTTTTTCTTTCTGTTTTTAACTTCAGAGATAGAGCTATTTGATTTTTTTCTTTACTTTTCTCTTTATTGTGTGCTGCGGGCTTTAAAAAAAAAAAATTTTTTTACTGAGAGTCCCCCTTTCTTGTTCTTCGATCTGAGGTGATTTACGATGCTCAAGTCTCTTTGTTGGTTGCCTTTGACTAATGCTTTTCAGCAGCCACGGGCTCAGCTCCTGGTTCCCAGTATGGCACAATGACCAGACAGATTTCTCGGCACAACTCTACCACTTCTTCAACATCTTCTGGTGGATACAGACGAACTCCCTCTGTGACTGCTCAATTCTCTGCTCAGCCTCATATTAATGGAGGCCTACTTTATTCTCAAAATTCAAGTAAGCTTGTGCTTTGCAGGCGTACGACAACAGTGGAGCTTCTTTTGAAGGAAATTGTTCAAAACCGTTAATCTTGCCCGTGATAGACAACAATTGAAACCATACTTTTTCATGTTTTTGCTTTAGAAAGTTAGTCCTTGAATTTTATACCATTTTAATAATAAATACGTATCCCTTTCTCTCCCAAAATTCAGATTTGTAAAGTATATTTAATCTACTAAAATTTAAGTGATACTTTACTTTAACTTGGTATTAACTGTTAATAGAACTAGAGAACAAAAAAAATGACTGAAATAAATTAAGCTAAATTTTTATTGGTGTGTTTCAGATCAATAATCGTAAAATTAAAGACATAAGCAATAAGCATTGTGAAAATGTTTCTTTAAAATAATACAACGAAATTGTTGGCTATCACTTATAAGGTTGATGACCTATAGTTAAATGAGTTTAAAACCATTAAAGTAGATTCTTGATGCCTGCTTTATCTATCTGAATAATTCTAACAGTGGGATTTTCTTTTGATTTCTCTTCTGTTCACTTAAACTGCACATCTCAGCACTAACTGCAATCAGTGTTTAAAAGCTGATAAGATTAAAAGATTAGTTTTAGCATATAATGTCAGGAAATTTGAATTGCTTAGGGTAGTCGTTAATTTCAATTTCCATACTAAAATGCTTAATCCAAAAAAAGAAATGAAATCTGAAATGAGCCTATTGTCCAGTATTTGTTATTGGCTTACAGTGGTGATCACTGGGCATAAACTGAAACACACTTTCCCACATAGCTTTTGTAGCTCCTTTCTAGAGCTGCACTTATTTTCATATTAAAAACCCATTGCTGTCAACTTGATTCCGACTCATAGCGACCGTATAGGACAGAGTAGAACTGCCCCATAGGGTTTCCAAGGAGCACCTGTTAGATTCAAACTGCTGACCTTTTGGTTAGCATCCAAACTCTTAACCACTGTACCACCAGGGTTTTCATATTAGTTTACTTAAAAATGCTGAATAGTCACAGAATTCTCCATATTTACATAGGAAGTTGGTTTAAGTTCTTTTTATTTATAAGGCATGTTCTGAACATGCATCATATTTTAAAGCAAAAGTAGGGGGGAAAGTTACTGATTTTTCATTTGAACTTTAGAGTTAAAGATCAGTTGTGTTACAGAAATTTTTTTTTAAGAATTGAAAACAACTTCAGCAGAAATGTGAAAATTCACAAGATAATCTGAAAAGTTGAACAACCCTTTTCCAGACTAAAATTTTCATCCAAGCTACTATGAAGTATCAGACTTTACCAGTTAGAATTTTACTTGACATTTTTCCTGATCTCCTTTTGGTAATGAAAGGTAGACACTATCTGAGTATTCCACCAATTATCTGATTATTAGCCTCACTGTTTTTAGGAAGTTTAATTTTTTTTTCATATTCTGATGTATTTTTGGACCCTTTCTTTATCTGTTCATGGTTTTTCTTTTTCCCACTTAGATATTTAATTTACTTTGTAAATAGAATTTTTAGTGACATTTAACCTAATATATGTTTGTGTACTTCTAGTAATTCTTGGTGGTTTGTTTATTCTCAAACAAGACAGTTTCTTTACTCAATGTCTAAATTCTTTGGATGTTGTAAAGCAAATTTGGCCTCAAATTTGAAATATCTTATTATGTTTTGTCAAATTAATTATCCTTTAATCTGAGTTACTGTTGGTGTTGTAGTACTAGTACGTAAAAAAATGTTGTTAGTGTTTTGATGTGCATATTTTCCCTCTGTCTAAATGTGATAGTAATGATTAGTATCTTCACAGCATAGCTTTTCTTTTTCTTTGTGTACTAACCAGCATGGCTAGTGACTTAGGGTTATTTCCAAAAAATTCTGTTAGGTTTGTAGGAATTTTTTTTTTTAATTAAAACCTCTAACCTTTTATTTATCTAAGAGCCTTCTATATACAGAGTGCCAGAATGAATGAAGACCAGTTTCATAGTGAATTGAATGTTATTTTTAGCCATAATATGAATATTAATGTACATAATATTGTTTGCTGTTAAGTTATTGCTTCTTTGCACACTGAGCCTCTCAAATTTTTATGATTACCAAATCTTGTACATTGGATTAATTGAAACATCCTTTTGATTAAATGCTCCTTAGGAACCAATAAATTTTTTCTCTGTCAATTGAATGTCACTACTTGGTGACTATCAATAAACTAACTAGCCAGTCTTACTGACTTCTTCTGAACAATCTTTAAAAATTACTGTCTTGTTAAAATGAAACAAAGTGGTAAATATATGAATATGCCTTCTAGTTTGTTACAATTTTTAATATGTTTGCTGTGCCAACAGTGAGCATTTGATGTCAATTTCCTGTAAATTGCATCTTCTCCAGAAAGAAGTTGGAATAGGTTTCAGGCTACCCAATGACTCTTTAGAAATTACTTCAGTGCAAATACTTGCATATTTTAACTTACTGGTGACCAGGTGCCCTTTTTGTTAACAGTGATAAAAGGCCACATGAAACTCAGTGAACAATTAATGTGGTATATTGAACACTCTTATTTCCTAGTAAATTTAGGAGTGATGTCTTTAAAAATAAAATAGTCAATTTAAAATATAATAATAACCTTGTTTTACAAACAAGGCTCATTACCTGGGAAGCTGTGTGTAAATCTAGATACATAATAAACTGTTTTAAAAGGAAACCTATGATTAATGTATTTATTTATAGAAACAGCTATTTCATAATATATTTGTTTATTTGGGTTTATTCACAACATTACTTTAAAGCTGGACAAACCTGTTAGGATATAGAGATATGGTAAAGACACAATATCATTGAAACCTCTATAGGTATTGTTATCTAATTTTTAGAAGTCTTAACTTAGAATTTGAAAATTACACTTTTTGGCATGAAAGTGAATGTGACTGTAAAACTAAAACTCCCTCAAACAATATAACAGTAGGATTAAACTAAGTGTATTTGTTCATTTATAAAATTAACCAATTGGCTAAGCATAAATCAGCCTTAGGTTTGCTTATGAGAAATGAACTTGAAGAAGGTTCTGCAGCTTTTTGTTTTGTTTTGTTTCATTTGCAAACTGTTCTTTGCATACTTATGTTTGTGGTCCCTGTAACTGACTTCTGCTTTTTGTTTGTTTCCTTTTCTTTCCTTTATCTGTTTTACTTCCCTCATACCATGTTGTTGCTGCCAGTTTCTATTGCTCCACCCCCTCCCCCTATGCCTCAGTTGACTCCACAGATACCTCTCACAGGCTTCGTGGCCAGGGTGCAGGAAAACAGTAAGTTTGGAAAAACTGAGCCATCAAAGAGTAGAGGCTGTCTCCTTATAGCATGCATGGCTGATGAGTCATCAGTTTCCTTACCTTTATTGAGAAGCTAATCTTATTTTGAAAATAGGTGCAAACATGTTACTGAAACTGAAGAGCACGGTCTTCAGTTCTTTCTCTTGTGTGCATGATTACTGACCTATGTAAATTTCAGACTGCAACTTTCTTATGTATTTAAATGACTTAGAACATGAGATCTGTTCTTTGCAGATTCTTTAGGAATGCGTAATCAAACACAAAAATTCAAATTATATAGAAACTACTAGTTTCTTATAGTTATTAGGGAAATTAGTTAGAAAATACCTTGTAGTTTGTTTCCAACAAATTTATTAAGATAGATTAGTTATACTGTGAGATTAAATTTATTATGCTACTGGGACAGGTGTTTTGTTTCCCCTTTAATTACAAAGAGTTTTAGAGAAAGCCTCAGATTTTTATACATAAATGATTTTGAAACTATATAAAGGCTTCTTATTAGAATAAGAATGAGTCTGCAAGAATAAGTAAATTATATCCATGCTATACATTTAAGGGTGAATGATCATCATTTTAGGGCCCTCTTCATGTTTTGCTGACATGCAGGCCCATGAAGATTATTTCTGAATAAGCGAATCTGTAGACTTTGTTAGGTCTTCTCTGTATGAAGGTCAGGCTTAACGATTTTTGGAAATTATTTTGAGTATATGGGTTTAATCAGGATAAATTAGCTTATCTTACTGTTTGATTACTTTAAGGTGCCAGAAACTACATGATTGTAGTGGATGTTATGAGGCAAAATGACAAATACCACCATGACTGAATTATGCCAGAATAGTTGTTGAGATTAAGATGGTAAGGTAGTCTTACTTCATTTGAGACCATCACTATGAAAATAAATCACAGAATGATTTGAACAAATGTTTATAATCCACTTAACCAGCCCATCTTTCAGGAGACTATATTGTGGGAAATTCTTTTCTTCAGCTTTTGCTGACCCTGTTATGTTATTCTATTCTCCCCATTCCCTCCCTTCCCCTAGTCGAATATTTGTTGATTGGTGTTATGTGCAAGGCTCTGGAAAGAAAAAAAATAGTTTAAGACAAAGTCCCTATCTTCAAGAAATGTATGACTTAATAGACTTTTTATTAAAACAATAGTTGCAAAATGTTGAAATTATTGAGTATAAACCAACCTTATTATTAAAATCTGCTTGAAAACTCTATGTTTAAGCATTTAAAAACAAATGAATCTTCTCTTAAAATAAGTGAATAAGGATAAATTGCCAGTTCTTAATGCTGTAAGAGTTTAAAAGCTAAGCCTGTGAATTTTTTTGTAAGTATTTTAAAATAGCCATAATGAAACATCAATCTTGTGGGTCCGAAGCTCATTTACTAGCTTTTTGGCAACTCTTTTAATCGAAATCTAGTATTAATGTACATTATTCTAGGCATACATGGTCTCTGCTAAAGAGACCCTTACTATTTTAGTTTATTTTTACCAACCACATGAACTTGAGTTGGTCAGTTATTCTTGTGCTGCAGATTTCCCGTCACTATTTGGTGTCTGTTTTCTTTAAAGGCGTATTAGGAGGGTAGGTGATAAACTATATATCAACTACTTTAAAAGTAATATAAACGTACACATTTTATATGTTCTTTCATATCTTAAATATCTGGTTTCTTATGACAGTTAGTGATTATGAATGCATGTAGCAGTTAACCTATTAATCAGTATGTTTCAATTTGAAGGAATGAGCCGCTAAAAAAGTCAGCATTGTGCTTACATCTGTTTATGATTAACATCAGAAAGCATTGTTGAACTATCTAATTACACTTGCTGCTAGACAAAGTATTATGTACAGAGAATTACATTGACTAAACTCCTGCTGCTGTGAACATAATTTGAAGATAAGCCAATGTAGAGTCAACAATTGGACATAAAGACAGTTGGAACAAATTAATAAGTTATGTATAAATCAAGAGTAAATGCAGTTTAAGGATTCAGACAAGCATATATAATTTACACATTAAGCCATTATGGATATTACCTATGGCTAGTTGTTGTCAGGATAGGGTCATACCCATTTGCCTTTCCTCTTAATAATACTAGAAAGTTTTGTGGAGGAGGTATGGGCAAGGATAAAACGGATCCAGGCATTTGGTGGAAAATAAATTGTAGACCTGTTTGATAGCTATTGGAGTAATCATCGCCACACAGGATTTGTCTTTAGATAGCCTTTTTCATATCCCCCAAGAGGATAAAATAGAAATCACAGAATTGAAGGGCGATTATCCACAAATATTTTAAATCTGGTTCCCTTGCTTATATTCTCAGCATATATTCCAAGTAGGGTGCGGTAAACTTTAAAAACCTGTATTACAAATAGATTATGCTTGCTTTTTTTTGCTCACGTAAATAGGCATTGAAATTGGCATGTGAGTTAGTATGTCTGTAATATGAATGTCTCCCTTGCATCTATTACAGAATTGCTGTGTCAGTTTGTATCAAATCATTTTCCTATGTCTTTTAAAGATATTTGTGGATCAGAAATTTAAATTAAGCATTAGTTGTGTTCCAGCTTTGAATTCCTTAATATTGAGTGCATTTATTACCTGGTAATACTTCCGAAAAACCAGCCATTGAAAACCCTATGGAGCACAGTTCTTCTGTGAAACATATGGGACGCCGTGAGTCGGAATTCACTCAAAGGCAGCTGGTTTGGTTTATCTTGATAATTCACTGAACACAGTTCTAGATTTACGTTTTCCCCTTTACTGTTCACTCCATTCGTTATTTGAAGCACATATACACACATACTGCAACCATCTAGAATTTGAGGTATGAATCATTTTTATTGTTTTGCATGATACAAATTATTTTTTTTATATTAAATCTTCCTTCAACACTCTTATTTTTTTAATCTTAATTGTGGGTGTATTCTTACAAAATTGGATCCTTACAATCTCGTCTTCCCCTCATCCCATGCCGATGTTTTACTAGCAATAATGTAAAATCTTAGCTTGATTTCTACATTAAAAAATTAATTGTAAACATTTTAGAAGATATTTAATGAGATTATCTACTAGTTGGAAATTATTTAATTTTTAAAAATAATAGAAAACCTACACACAGGAGCAGACCTTTTCTCTCCATTAAAGCAAACATAAACAAAAATCCACCCACTAAGACTTATTTCTAGTTTTCCTAACTAAAGCAAAAATCAGGGACATGAATGAGCACAATGAAAGGTATCAAACCATTAATGTTATATTATATATTACTGTAGTCCAAATGACAAATGTGACATAAGGTTTATTTTAGACAGCTAATCTGAATGATCCAAATAATCTCAATGTCATCAGAGTCCTGATGTGAGTCTTGGAATAGGGAAATTACTCCTATCGTCTTTATGAAAAGAGACGTTGTCTCCTAACTTCCTGCATTAGTTTGTAGTACTTCCTGATGCCTTTATTTTTAGCTCATTTTATTGTTGCAAAATTATTCTTAAATCCTACTAGGCATAAGCTTTAACACACCAAGCTTTTATTTCTAATCATTGCATGTTTTATTATAGTGCATGCTGTATATGAGTTAGAGCTTTCTTAAATTCTGTTAACTTATGAATTTCCATTTAGTCTAATTTCTGATTCAAATTAATTATCTGAATCCTTTTAGTTGCTGATAGTCCAACTCCACCACCACCACCTCCACCAGATGACATTCCCATGTTTGATGATTCTCCACCTCCGCCACCACCACCTCCAGTGGATTATGAAGATGAGGAGGCTGCAGTAGTTCAATATAATGATCCATATGCAGATGGGGATCCTGCTTGGGCCCCCAAGAATTATATTGAGAAAGGTAAGGTACAATCATTGAGTTGATATGAAGGAAAGTAACCTAGTGATAGAATTTTAGAAGTATAGAGACCATCTAGTCCAGTTTTTCTCAACCTTTTGAACTGTGCTAACAGCCAAGATAATTTATTTGAGCTTTATTTCCTATTTGTTGTTGTTGTTGTTAGGTGACGTCAAGTTGGTTCCGACTCATGGAGACCCTATGTACAAAAGAATGAAACACTGCCTGGTCCTGCGCCATCCTTTGCAATCGTTGTTATGCTTGAGCCCATTGTTGTAGCCACTGCAACACTATAATACACTATACTTTGTATTATTCTCTGATAAAAAGGGAGGTTCTTCCCTTATTTTTTAAATTAAAGTTATGAAGTTGGATATGCTTTTTCTAATTACATATGCTCCAGCTGGAGATTAACTTGCCTGTTTTGTCTATTTCATTTTGTAAGTGAAACAACTAAGGTACTCCCCCAAAAAAGGAGTTAAATGACTTACTGAAGTCATATAATTAGTAAAGATTTAAAAAACCTTTTTCAAGTCCTTATAATAAAAACAGAAACTTCTGTATCTAAATATTTTAAAATATATTGATGAATATCATGGAAGAAGAGCCTCAATTAGGTTTTCAGTTAGGTGATTTTGTACATGAGAAGATAAATTACTAGGATTTTATTTCACAAAACTAATCCTAAATTATCTATTAAGAAGTGGTAGGCAGGGAAGAAAATCTTATTTCAAGAGAGTTTATTTGCTTTTTTCAGCCAATTCTGTGCTATTTTTAAATCTGTACAGAATTCTGAAAAAATACTTATAAATTAGTTGATCACATTTGATTGCCTTTGAAACATATTGCTTTGCAGTGACTTTATTGGGTTAACAAACTTTAAGAAAGTAGCTGTAGCTCTTGAGACCTGAGGTATTCTCTCTTGCCGGTTTTGAATATGTAGCTAAAGTAAATTTGCTGTTTTCTTTTTTTATATTTTAAACAGTAAATATTGTACATATTGTTCAGGAAACCTTAAATACTCTGCTTTACATTTAGATTCCCATATACCTTTGAATATATAAATCAACAGTATGACATGGTTGTTCCAAAAGCCAGATTCTTAGGGAACATTAACTTCAGCCTAATATGAACCAATCTGATCACATTCACTTATGATAGAATAGTTTTATGTCTAATTCTGAGTACCACATTTCAGAATCTTGCAAACAAGCATGCCTTCAGAGGAGAATAATCAGGAGGCTGAAGTATCTAGAAAGTGCATCTATCATGAGAACAGTTGAAAGCACTGTTGGGGAAAAGAAGATTTCAGAGGGACTAGGTAGTTATCTAGGTCCCTGGGTGGTACAAATGGTTTGCTCTCAACCCCTAAAGGTTGGTGGTTTCAACCCACCCAGCAACGCTGCGGAAGAAAGGCTTGGCAGTCTGCTCTGTAAAGATCACAGCCAAAAAATCCCTATGGAGCTCAGTTCTACTCTATAACACATGGGGTCGCCGTGAGTCAGAATTGACTCAACAGCAGCAGGCTTGGTTTTTATTTTGGTAGGTAGCTATCTACATATATTTATCACGTACACATAGGATTAGAATATTAGACTTTTAGAGTTCCAAGAACCCTATAGTACATACAAGAAGGGAGAGTTTGGCTCTTTATCTCGATTAGGGTCCTCACAAGTACAAAGGACCCTGAATTGTTAATGGTTCATACTTAGCAGTAAGAGATATTACATGAAGGATTATGTGCATTGGGGAAGGGGGATTGGGTGGGAGTAGATTCCATTCACAAAGGGGACCTTGAAAATATAATTAAATAATTAAATATAATATAATAAACATAATTAATTGGGCTCGGTACTTCCACTAGCTCTTTGCATAAGTAGAACTAGAACATGAGGAAATAAAACTGTTGTTTTGTTGAAAGACTATTACAGGTGTCTAGCCTTTGTCATCATCAGTATAAAAATCATCTACACCACTCAAAAGCTAGCAGCTGTGACTCTAAATACAAAGACATTAAGTTACCAAGCCTTAAGAATAATAATAAATTAATAATTGATAGATAATTTATAATTATTATTACACTACTTTCTTTACTAATAGCTTATCTCTAGCAATTACTTGATCCTCTTGGGTGACTATTTAGCCAAAAATAATGCTGGGATAATTATTTATTCTGTATGTTTTTGGGCTTTTTTGCAAACTTGATATGCCAGTGAGCTTACAATCACAATACTGTAATTCTGTTGCAGGATTAAAATGGAGAGGAATGGCCTTGTTTTTTAATATGGTATTTTGTAAAAGGGAAAAGGGTTGTCTGACTTAGCAAATGATGCCATGGATTGGTATTTCAGGGCTCTCCCTTATTTTAAATCACTAATTCAGAATAATTTGGGAAGAGAGGCTATCTTCTTAATAGACAGTAAATTCCAGAATATTTTAAATATCTTTAAAACTCTTGTGTTTTAAGAAAAAAATGGCTACCAAGAATAACAGGTAAATCAGTGAAAAAACACGTATGTCATGTACCATTTTTTTCACATATACTAGAAAGTTATATATTAATTTCAGAATTATTATGCTATAAAAAAAGCCCATTGTCATCGAGTCGATTCCGACTCATAGCAAACCTATAGGACAGAGTAGAACTGCCCCATAGTTTCCAAGGAGTGGTTGGTAGATTTGAACTGCCGACCTTTTGGTTAGCAGCCGAGTTCTTAACCACTGTGCCACCAGGGCTCCATTATGCATAAAGGCAGAGTAAAATAATTCTTAAATTCATAAACCAATACTTTGGAAAATTACTATTTTTAGATTATCTTCCCTTTCCACAATACTGTTTGCAAAGAATCACAGATACCAAAGACTTGTAAATAGTTCTCTAAATCTTGATTAATGAGACTTTACTCACCTATTTCCCCCTTAAAAAAAGTAAACTGGATATATCCTCATAAATTACATGAATATGTTACTTGAATATGAGTAGGATATTTATTTCCCAGTATATGAGTATTTTCAAATCAGAGCTTGGGTTGTTGCCTGGTTTATTGAATAGTTATGCAGCTTTGCCCAATAGTTATTTTAAAAAATGGTGCTTTGCATATGGTAGGCAATTAGTAGGTACTTGAATTACTCGAATGAATTGAAACAGCTAATAAATCCCAAAATTCAGAGATCTTTTCTAAAGAGATTGGTAGAAGCTGTTGAATTTAGTCTAACTGAATTGCTAATTTGGTCCTAAGAGCAACCCAGTGATTTAGGCACCTGTTTGGCCACTGACCCACCTACATTTGCAGATACAACAATTAAGAATCTTCATAAAAATGGTTGGTTTTGCTATACCTATGGATGTAATTGGCATTAAATCATAAAACTCAAGTAAATTTTGGATATAATGCACTCATGTAGTATTTCACCTCTTTTCTCCATAGTTGTTGCAATATATGATTATACAAAAGACAAGGATGATGAGCTATCGTTTATGGAGGGTGCAATCATTTATGTCATAAAGAAGAATGATGATGGCTGGTATGAAGGAGTCTGCAATCGAGTGACTGGTCTGTTCCCTGGGAACTATGTTGAATCAATCATGCACTATACTGATTAAATTTTTTGCTTTTAAAGTAGATTCTCATTATTACCCAGTCATACTGTGGGACTGTTATGGTTAACAGAATTGTCTTAATGTTTTAAAATTTGCTGATATTTTCAGGTCGTGCTGTTTTACGGTATAATTTAATTGTCAACCAGTAAGCATAAATCTTTGAGGCAGTTTGTGTATTGAACAGCAGTTTATACAAGAAGCTGTCCATAACTGATTATGCTTATGTATTTACTTACACATTGTTAACTTTATGACCAGCCTGAATATTCTGGGGAAATGGGGTATAATATTTAAATCATGATTCAGATTGTACCATTGTATCTTTCAGTGCAGCATGGTTACTAACACTGTCAGACTAATATTAAAAATCAGAAAATTTAAATGATGGTGCTGGTCATTATTTTTTGTTTAGATTCTCTCATTCTTGAACTATACTTGTTTAAAGCATGCATACAAATTAATGTATTGAAATATACTTTTAAAAAATCCAAGATGCTTCCAATTTGTGTAATATTTACCTAGGGTACTCATACTTTAAATCTCTTGAAATGAATTGAGTCTCTGAGGTCTCCATGTGAAACAAAGGGTGATCTGTAATGCTGTAATTTGTACCTAAGTTTTTTAATGAGTAAATTTGCATTAAGAATTTTTTTCATTGATAAATACATAAGTGAACCAAAGGTCTTTGTCCTTTCCTTCATTGGTTTGCTTTAAAAAATAAAAGATGCTGATTTATTGGAGAATTATGGTTCTATTTTCTCAATATATTGACTGTGGAAAAAATTTAGCCTTATCTCTATCTGTCTCAACAGCAATGTGACTGATTATTGCAGATTTAAAATCAGAGATGGTGTATTTACAAGTCAATCTACTGAATTCTTTTTCTAAAGCAACTTTTTCAAAGCTAAGAAAATGTGTCATAATGTGCACAACATTCATTCTATAGGTAAAATTCTTAAGGATTGTAAGATTAATCCTTCAGTTTTACTGTGGACTCTTGTATATTGGTTTAATGAAAAGAAATTATAAGTATCTTTTACATACTAATTTTGTAAAAGTGAGTGCAATTAATTTTTGACTAGGTACTATTTAACCCATTATCTGGTAGTAGCAATATAAAAAGATTTTAAAATAGTTGGGAAAGAAGGTGAGTCATTAATCAGTGAACAGGGATATACTTGACCAACAGATTTGTATTGTCTCTTGACATAAGTGAAATACAACACATGCACTTTGTGTGCCCCCTCTTAATTTACGGGACGGTTAGAGGGATATTTTATCTTGTGTATAATTCTATATTGCTTAGGGTATTAGAGTACTCGTGTGGGTTTCTATGAATTGACGGTTTGTTTGGATTTCAAATTACAGTTACGTACTGGGCAATACAGACTTCTAACAGCATAGTGAATGGTGGAAGACATTTATTTCTGAAAATTAAAGTCCATTATTGCTACTAAATCAATGTGACTGCTTCATATGCATTTTACCTCTGTTAATTTTAAACATGATTTCAGTATCATTAGTGATTAGCTAGCTACCTTCTGCTTTCCATTTTTTGTGTGGAATGTTCTCTTAATTTGTATATAACTGTTTAAATTTTATACACAGCCTTTTGTAATAAACCATTCTCCTGTATAAATTTTGGATGCTGTTAAAATTTAACTAATGTGGACTTAAATGTAGACTTCGCAATTCTCTGACCTTCATTCCTGTGCTCCCTTTACCTTTCAGTAAAGGTGAAACAAGATAAACCATTTGAATTTTAACATTGATTGATTGTTTATTTGTTCCATGTGGATATTCACAATGTAAACAATACCACATATAACCTTCAAGATACCTCGATTAGAATTTGAGATGAGAATGAGATTCAAAGAGTTTAATTACATAGTTATGGCTTTCTTCAATATAATTTACTTTAAAAAGTTGTCTGAAAAACTTTGCCAATTGAAAAAAAAAAACAACTGCCCACCAGTATGGTTGAAATGATTTTTTAAAATGATTTTTGGTTATCTGCACATGAAGCAAACAGTGTATTTGACAAAATTCTTTAGGCACAATCTGGTAAAATAGCTGCCAGAAAGAACAGAAAGAGTTGTCATTTATCTCTTGTGAGTACAATTTCCGAAAGTTGAATGAGGGCGTCTCTTTCTGGAGATGGTCGAAGTTTACTAATCTCTCTTATTGCTTCATGGCAATACCGCTGGGCGAGGTAGGTTGTTTGTTGCACACCATCACTCTATAGGGTACAGAATAAAACAAATGCATGTCATTGACTGGAGCAGCTTTTAAATTCCTGCTATAATAAATTACAACAAGCTTGTGAGATGAGGGTGAGAGGTAAAGGTAAGAGCCCATCTTTGTTCCTAATGTTCGATCTCCAAGTCATGATTCCAGCCTCCTCTGCTTATTTCTTATAGGCCCTTTTCTCAGATAGAAGCAATTCTATTCTATTAGCATGCAAAACAACTAACTTATTAATATTGAGTAGCCATCTAGTTTCTCTTATTTTTTACTCAAGTATTAGTTTTTAAAAAGTTCTACATACATAAAATAGCTAGACACAATTTTTAAATGAAAATAAAGGGCTTATGACAGAAATCAATATAGTTCTCTTCCCCTCTTCCAAAGGCACCAGCTTTACCCATAGGTTTTGCTTCTTCACCTAGCTCATATACTATTTCTTATTTATTTATTGTACTTTAGATGAATGTTTACAGAGCAAACTAGCTTCTCATAAAACAATTAATATACATATTGTTTTATGACACTGGTTGCCAACCCCATGACATGTCAATACTCTCCCTTTCTTGAACTTAGGTTCACCATTACCAGCTTTCCTGTCCCCTCCTGCCTTCTCATCCTTGCCCCTGGGCTGGTGTGCCCATTTAGTCTCATTTTGTTTTATGGGCTTGTCTAATCTTTGGCTGA